TTTTTAAAATAATTAAAAAAAAAAAAAAAACTGGTTTAATGAAAAAAACCAACTTTGTAAATTTTCTTATATAACTTTTGAGTAATTAAATAAAATGATATCAAATTTTAATATAATATATCTTGATATTTATTAAACATGCAATAAAAAAATTGTATTATATTTATTTACCTAATTTTGTATAATTAAAAAAAAAAAAGTGTTTACAATAATATGATAGGCCACTATAACAATAAATATTTTTATTTAAATAAAGTCTTATATTTAATGTTTATTAAATAAAAAAAAAAAAACTTTTATCTGTTTATTATTGATTTCTTGAAAATTTTCTTTTATTATAATTTTTTTAAAAAAATATTTTCTTTTTTTTCATCAATATATTAATTATTTCATAAGCTCAAGAATATAAGAACTTTAAAAATTATTATTGTATTGGAATAGGACTTCTAATTAAAGGCCAAATAAGTTTAAAAGTTTTGTTTGTTTTTTGATTATATAAGGAAAGACCTATAGTAATTTTTATTTTTAATTTTATCTTTATACATTTTCTTTTTTATTATTATTATAATAATTATTTTTTTTGTCATTCTTAATATCACCAATTTTCTTCTAAAAACAAATTCAAATAAAATTATAAGTTCTTCTATTTGTTTTAATTAAATCTTTTTAAATAACTTTTATATAGTATATTTTACTATATTACTTTAATAATATTAAAAATTTTTTCAAACTCAAAAATCAAAATTAACTTAATCTCTTTAAATAATTTAAATAATTTTAATGGCTAATTAAATTTTAATATCTTAATTTAACAAGAATCAAATTAGTATTAACTTGTTAAAAATGATAATAATAACAATAATATATAAAGATTTATCAAAAACTTATTAAATCAAGATCAATTTTTTGAAAATCTTTTATATTACTAAAAAAAATATTTTCATTTATTTTAACTTAGCTATTTATGAATAAATATAAGTCATTCATGAATGAGGTGGTGTAGGATTCTTAATGTAATGAAAGTAATATCAATTAGTAAATAAAGTTTTGCATTTTATATTTATTTGTAGTAAAAAAAAAATAATTAAATAATAATTAAAAAAATAATATAAACAATAATATAATTTTTTTTTAGGTTTAAAATCAATAAAATGGAATTTGTATTTTTTTAAAAAAATAATATTTTATATTATTAAATTTTTTTAAAATTAAAATTATTTATTATTGTTTTGAAAATACAAAATACAATAATTATTTTACAAATTAAGTTATTAGATTAAATATTTGAATTAGAATTTAAAAATTATTAGAAAATCAAAAAGTTTATTAATAAGTTTATTAATTTTTTATTAATTATTTTATATTGTTTAATAATTTTAATTTCTTAAAGCTTTTATTAAATTTGTTAATTAAATAATAAAATTAAATTTAAATATAGTATTAAGAAAAAGCTTTAATTTTAATAAATTATTATTAATTAATAAATTAAATATACTGTAATTAATTTTATATATAAAATTAAAAGTTATTAAAAAATTATTAAAAAAAATTAATAAATAAGCATATAATAATAAAATAAGCAATAAAGTTATATGTATATAAATATTATTATCATTTATTGATTAATTTATTTTTAGAAAAGAAAAATTTTCAAAAATATTAATAAATCTGTTAATCAAATTCATTTTATTAATAATTTTACTGATCATATTAAAATTAAAAAGATTTGTTTTTAAATTTTGAATTAAGGTTATAATTGCAAAAAAACTTTTTTCAAAATTTATAATTTTAATGTTATAAACAATATTGTTTTTAAAAATACTGTATCTGATATATAAATTTGATAATAAAAATTGTTTAAAATTGGTAATAAGTTTGAGAATGATAATATTTTTAACAAAATATGTTTTTTGAATATGGTTATATGAAAAAATTGTTTCTTGAAGTAACAAATTTGAATAGATATACTTGAGAGTGCTTGGAGAAGAATGGGTTTTGTTTTAGAAATAGTTATTATAAAAGAAAGTTTTTTTTACAAGAAAAATATTTATTATAAATAAAATAATATTTGTTATTAGATATTTTATATACAAATTATTAATTTTTATTATGCAAAATGTACAACAAACAAACAAACAAACAAATAATATATGTCTACTCTTTTACAGTATACAGCATATGATACAGATAACAAAAAGACACTGAATTTATTTTGAACAACATGATAGACCAAAGTTTTCAAAGGTATATAAAAAATCAATACAGTTTTGAGATTAGTTGAATCAGGCAGATGAGGCAATGGTCGTTGATTTTATAGAGCTTAATTAATCTAATAGACGAGAAGTTGGTTGTTTAAATTTTATATATAACTTGTAGCCATGTATTATATGAAAGATATTGATTATGAAAACAAAAACAATTAGGGTAATGGACCTACGGATGATTTAAGGTTCAATGGTTTGAATGACCATTGATGGATAATTCGATTGTTTGCTTATTGAAAAGAACCCATTGAATTTAAGAGATGTGCGGTTTGTTTAATAAACAAAATGCTTTTTTTTAATGAAATCATTGACATTATTATTTGGAAGATTAATTAATTTATTGTTTCAAGCTTAATACTTTCTGAGATAATTCGAAACGAAAAATATATATACTGTATATGATCTATAGACTTAAAAAAAAAGGTGAAGTTATGCACACGTGTAAATTAAGGTGGTACAGGGTTCAAAAAATGACTCGAGAAAATAAGCCTATCCAACATCGCTATCTTAATGGTGCCCTCTCCTCATTTTTACTTTTCCGTCTTTTGCAATAATCTCGCATCCTCAGAAATAGCTCGTTGAATACTCTTCAAATAAATGAATCGACCTTTTTTTCCGAATCCACGTGATACAGTAATCCATAAGATGAATTTTTTTGTTTTCCAAAAGTCAAATATCAGCGTTTCAACATCGAAGGTGTGGGAAAAGCGGTAACCTATTGGTTTTTTTTGCTATCGGACGTTCAGACCGCACAAAAAAATTTCATAGGCCTTTTATTTTTGTAAAAATTTTAATTTGAAACGGTATTCGAACAATCGACGCAAAAATTTGATATAGTATGTCTATTTCTTAGGAGCGAATTTCCCATCCACTCGCATATTACTTTTAACCATTAACTTGGATTCTCCATTCAATTTCCGATAATTCTTTTTCATGATGGCCGACGAATTTTCCGTGTCATTGACTTTATTGATGACGACCGCTGTTGATTCGACCTCAATTCTAGTGTTATAAAACCATTCGCCTAAAATGATCCCTCCTAAGACGATCAGCAGGGTCAATTCCGGTACCGCCTCGAAAACATAAAATACCCATTCGTTGGTATTTATAGGATCGGAATTTTTGGAGAAATAAACAATTGTTCGATAAACCAGTTCAATTGACAGCAAGGCAGCCGAAATATATAATACTAATGCCTGCAAGTGTCTTTGTATAGCCACGCCATTTCCATAAGTTTTCGTGAAATAAGTGACAAAAAAGAAATACATCACGATAACTATTAAAAATCCGATGACCGAGAACTGCCTAGAAATTTCTCCCCAATAGATGTGATCTTCCGAAGAGGAATCCAAGATTAATACCTCGCCTACGACGCCGACTATGGAACATAGGGGAATTAATAGTTTGACGAACTTCAACGCATATTTTTCGTAAATAAGAGGCACTTTTTCATCCAATAGAATTTTGATCCAATCGGCCAACAGGATATATAGAGCCTCCACGATAATGAAGAATCCACCGGCCAGCAAAGTTCCACAAATGATTCCCATTGCTTTTGAAGAAGCGAATTGCGACCACACGGCCCGCACTACGAACAGACATGCGCGGAGGAAGCCAAAAGTACATAGGTACATGTACACGGTTCGTCGAAATTTTGTTATTCGTAGCAGATGAAGTAAAGCTGATGCTCCAAATAATACAGCTAGCACAACGGATGGTGGAAAAGTTGGTATTATTCTTGGGTAAGTAGCACGAGAAGACATCTTTTCAATATTTTACTAGCGAATTATCATTAACAGAGTGTCGAACTTGGAACGAAGGGGTTTTTTAAGAACCAGGAGGTTTAATATACAGTATTTACTACCACCAATCTATTATTATAAATCTAATTTACATTAAAAACATGGAAAATTTGGCACTTTTGTTGTGTTGGCATAAAGGTCGGAGGACGATTTTAGAAGTGGGGAAAAAAAGGTCGAATGCAATTATGTAACCGCGGGTCTTGGCATTGTTGTACATAAAGCCTTGTTACCATTGGTAAACGGTGGTGCTACATACGCATGTTCATTTTTTGATTTTTTGTACTTGACCAATATTTAGTATATCGATATTACGTTAGTATGAAAACATGAAATCTCGGATCAAGTATCAATTTATGCACCATGTATATTAACAAAAAAAAACCCCATTCGGAATAAAGAAAGGGAAATCATGTTTGCTCGTGTTGAAAGTAGACTTCTTCATCAACTACTACGATTTACGATTTTCCCTGATTTCATGATCCCGTAACTTCGTAATACAATGCTATACTTGTAGTAAATTTATGTGTAACCGGCATTACGGAGTATCTAGTTCCGTCCTCCGTTGAACGATGGGATCAAAGACTTTGATTCAAATCCCAAGCCTTTGTCCATACTTAAAGATCTTTGGTCACTCACCTTTTGCCTACCCAAGTCATTTTTTAGTCAATGAACTTTGCAAAATTCTACATTTCACAGTCCGACGCGTAAAACAATTGATGGATAATAATAGGGTATATTGTTTTATTTCAAGAATGATAATTGTTACATCGTGGGGGATTAGTCAAGTGATATACTGTATCTACTACTGTATCTACTACTGTATTATGATGATTTTCTTCAAAGATGATCACCAGGTCTGCGTTATCCCCCATGCAAACTTGCGACGAGATGGATTGTTTGACCTGGTTCAATGTTGTAATCGCACAACTTTTTGTCATCCTCGAGTTGTCTAGATCTGCAGATAAGACGTATTCCTATCCCGATGTCGAGTTTATCATGGATTTTTTGTTTCAAAGTTGATACGGTATCATTAGACGAGACAAAAAATGGACAGGTATTTCCGTTTAAGGTACAAACGAAGATCTGAAATTCCGATGCAGAGACTTTGGTCACGAGCCGAATGATGCTACCTTCTTCGATGGAGCACTCCGAAAGTTTGAGGGAATCAGCAAGTTGTGTATTTCCGACAAAAAGTTCTTGTTTTGAAGGAATAGGTACTATTTGGACTTTAGCATGGATATGTTCCTTTAATTGGGCAACAGTTTGATCGCGTTCGACATCCAAAGAAGCACTGACGTTAAAAAATTTTAGCGTGACTTTCATTTTCGCGGATTAGTTGATAAACGATGTTAAGAGGAATTTGGAGCAATGAATAGTAATCAACCTTATATTTTCTTTCCCGTAGAAAGAAACATGAATTTTGTCTCAAGAATGTCTATTAAAGGGATCACAGATGCTATAAGTGACTTGGAAATTAAATAAACTTTTTACGATCACAAACCTTGAGTCACAAAAGTCTCGAAAATCACGTTTATTTTATTCCGTCACCCGATCAATTTAGGTAACTAGACTTGGGAATATTTTTTATTACGCGTGGTTTTTTTTTCCCAACATATTTTTATCTTCTTTCTGTCTTAGTTAGCCCGAAAATGGATTACTGGATTGGACGAACAATTTGCCTAAAATGTGGCAGAATCAAAAATGACACCTTAAAGATGACCTTCAAATGCACTCACAAGCATACCATTTGTAAACAATGCATTAACAAACACATAGAAGATGCCTTAAAGAACATTAAAGATGAGATTATAATTAAATGCATCATCTTCGGATGTAACAAGCAACTCACATACGGAGACATGAAGAGAGTGGCAAATGAGGAGAATTTTAGAATGTTGATACATTTTATTTCCTTTCTTGTTGTTGCGTATGGAAAGAGATACATCTAAATATACCGTCTATTGCTATTAAAGTTATGATGAGGAATCCTTTAAACGCGCGATCGAAAAGTTTGAAGACTTTCGCTGGTGTATGCACCTTTGTGGGACCGGTCAAATTCATCTTGGAGACGGTAATTTAACTTTTTTAGTTGAAGTCGCAATTTTCAAGAGTTGATTGCATTTTGCATTTCTATTTCTGAAGAAAATTCACCAATAATGACCTGCTGGGGATGCGAGAAGAAAACTTGCTTTAAGCACAAGGTCCGCTGGCACGAAGGCAAAACTTGCAAAGAATATGATGAAACCCTTAGTGAAGCCGAGTCAGCCACCCGACACTTTCTTGATCAAAATACCAAGACTTGTCCTAAATGCAAAATCATCATATCCAAAGATGGTGGTTGTGAGCATATGACCTGTTCCTGCGGCCACCAATTTTGTTGGTTGTATGTATTTCGAACATTGTGATTAGAGACTTACATTTTTTCTCTATCGACATAATCGTATTTGCTTATTTAATCAGGTGTCTCGCGGATTGGGAAAGCGGTCATTTTTCCACGTGTCTAAGATATTAGCATTTGTTTCGCGCAACACTTTTTTTTTATTCACGTAAAATAAATTTATGAGTTGTACGGCTTATTAATAGAAATAGTAAATATACTAATAAAAATGAATTCGTAACACGACTAATTTTAGCAGATGAATTTTATAATAACAACAATAATAACTAGAGTACTCATATTCTTATTTTGTAAGGTTAAATTCTTTTGATAAAACACCGATATAGAACTTTTTACTTATATTCTAACTAATAATTTTATTAACTATTTTTCACGACTGTACTACGGCATTTTCTACAAAGATTTAAGTTCTTGAGATACTGTATGTGCGCAGTATCTCTGTAAATAAAATGTAAACGTGCGAGTTTTGGGTTTAATATTGATTCAGATGAATGTTCATAAATGCACGCACGTTTGGATTGATTTTTTCATAAATGCACGCATGCTTGGATTGATTTGTACCTTATATTACACATAAGTCAATTCGTTTGTTTTAAAATTGGAAAAGAAATGTCGATAATGATTGTGAACCAAGTAAAGGTAAGATTGTACGTAGATGGACTCTGAATGCCTTTGTTGCGAACTCCGGCTACCAAATAAAGTTTCTTACCTGCATATACAATATACTCACTTTGTTCGGGAAACGTAAAAAACTTGTCAACTAATAATGTGCATCTACTGTATGTGTATTACTGTATTCAGAATATAAGGTTTTATGCCCATCTTCGATGCTTACACAAGAACATTGCGTAGTTATAAATTGGAGGTTTTCAGGGGTCCCCTTGTGTTGCGTGATACTTATTTGATAGAAGTGATCGTCCTTCATAGGAACGCACTTTGTTTCCGATCGGAAAGAACACATCAATCGTAATGGAGTCAACAACCTCTCAAAATTTACCGGAAAGCATAAAAACGGAAAATACTCAAGGCACAAATGTCCAGCAAGAAAATCCGATTCCTCAAGTGAAAAAACGTGAGAGGGCAGCCAAGAAGGAAAAACTGGAACAGAAGCGGCGCAGTAAGGAGGAAAGAAAAGCTAACCCGACGCAACAAGTACAAGAAATAATTGTGGATCCTTTTTTGAGACAAATGATTCCAATAACCGAGAATCCTTTGGATGTGGAACTTACGGACAGAGAGAAGATAACCATTATGACTTATAATGTGTGCATTCACTTGTTCGTTACGTTGTAATTTAGTACACTTGGTTATAAAAATTCTTTATTTTTAATATTAAACCTTTGATTAATGATAGATTCTCGCTCAATCACTTTGCCGCCGTGAGCTATATCCGGACAGCCACGAATCACTTAAATGGAAATACCGTCGACCACGGTTGATCAAAGAAATATTATATTACGATCCTGATGTGGCATGTTTCCAAGAGATGGACGAATCTAACTATAGAAATACTTTTAAGCCTGAATTTGAGCGCGCTGGTTACGAACTTCTGTATTTTAAAAGCGAACCTAAATCGCATGGTACGATTTTTGTTGATAAATTCAATTTACAATAATGTGGATATAACTCGCATCGTAAATTCTTAACTGCGTATCATTTCTTCATCTCTAGGATGTTGCATAATTTGGAAGCGTTCCAAGTTCACCAAGTTAAAAGATCTTAAAATCGAGTTCGATAAATTGGAAGTATCCACAATGCCAACCAATTGCGTAGGACTTATTGTCTCACTAGAGTGCATCAAGGCATCTCGTCAAAATTCTGTTGATCAAGGGGAAACCAAATCTGGGATCATCATTGGGACAACGCATCTTTATTGGAGACCTCAATGCATGTACGAACGAGCGAGACAAAGCTTGTTATTGTACGAAAATCTGATAAAGCTTAACGAAGAATTCGGATTTGTGACATTTTTGGCTGGGGGTCAGTATATTCACTTATTCACTGCGTTTGCTCCCGTAGCGATTTATCTTGTACTCGTCGAATTCAATTCTTTTTGCTTCTTAGACTTCAACTCGTCGCCAGAAACTTCAGCGTACAGATTGATGGTACAAAGAGAATCCGCATTAACCAAACAAGATATAGAGAATTTAAAAAATTCCATGAGATATTTTGATGGAAAAAAGGATGATTTAGACGGAAAGGTACCCTCTCCGAGCACTGTGGATAATGAAGCGTGTAGAGAAAGTGATAGAACGTCGTTGACCGACGATTGTCCCTCGTCCTCGGTTGTTGTACCGGCAGAAACATCGAGCCCATTTCCACCGTGTGAACCATCGCTTTCTGATCTATTTTCGAGGTTCTCGATACTTCCACGATGCACGTCACTCTACTCGAAATATTATCATATAAAAGATCCCGACAATACTTTTCTAATGGAACCGAAATATACAAACTACGGACTGTACTTTAAAGGAACAGTAGATTATATTTTTCATATCCATAGTTGTCTCCAAAACGATGATTATCCTGATGAAACGAAAAATGAAAAGAACATCGAAAAAATAAACAGTAACGCTAATGAGTCTTTGGCGGATGATGATAAGGGTAATTTTACTAGAAAGGCAAAGAAAACTAGAAATCAAGAGATTAAGGTGTCAAGTATATTGAGGATGCCAACGGAAGAAGAAATTGGAACCTGTTTGCCAAATCATAAGTTTAGTTCCGATCACCTATGTTTGATGGTTGAGGTGGACGGCTTATAGCAATGGGTGGTCTTTGAAGGTTGTGTTTTTGATTAAATAATGAATATCAGTAAGGGGGTTCCCTGATGAAACGAAATGTATCCTTTGTTAAAATACGCATCTCTCTTGAATATAGAAAGGCCTCACCTTTAAGTCCTTAAGATCATTTTATTCTACCCTTAGAAACCTAGATACTATTTAATATTAGTTTTTACAGCATAGAAAATGGTTCGAATTGTCATTGCTCGCATAATCTGGAATCATTAATCTCGACAAATAAAGCACAGATTAAACTGTATTTAAAGAAAATTGTGTAAAAGTGGACTGACATCAATGTCAGATGAATTTAACTTACCAATTACCAAACAATAAGAATGGTAATTCTCGTAAAAAAATCTAAAAGTAACGCACTTCCATATTGCGAAATAATTCATTTCAACGATGTAGCTATTCGCGCCTAATTACATCTCAAAAAATTCGGCGAAAAAGGTTTAACCAGAAAAATCACAACCTTTTGATCCCATAGGTCATTGTGGGTAAAAACGGTGGGCATTGAATAATTATAGATTCATATATGCTAAGGACCCGAGGGAATTGCAGAATCAAGTTAAATCTCATTTAGGAGAGAATAGTAGAAACTGGGTGCCTCTTGTTCGTCAGGGTTTAACTCATCATGTCTTGATAAATTTGGTTGATTCTCACTACTCCTACAATAAAAAATGCATTTGATAACAAAATTAGCAAGCACATCTTTATACGATGACGCCAGAGGTGTCAAGTGTAGTAGTTCACAGCATGACTCAACAGCTTGAGCAAGATGTCTCTTCATTTCATTTCAATCCCTGTCCATAATCAAACTCATACCTATAACTTTGAAAAATTTGCATTCTTCCAAATTTTCTTTACTTTGATCACATTAACTGCAGAACTTGTGTATTCTTCATTCCTGAATTTGTAATGTGCAAGAATTATTATTATTTGAGTAATCTTTAAGCTGATCTTGTATCTAATGTGACTTACCATATATTGATTGTTATAAAAATATTTTTGATTTGTTACAACTATTTTCTCTTTTGTTACTTAATAAATAGTGATTTTTGATTTTAAAATATTATTTTGATAACTATAAGTTTCCAAATTTTTCAGATAGTTAGGAAAACATTGATTTTAAATTACTGAATTGATAACCATAGGTTTACAATGTTTTTAAAACAATTAGTTAAAAAATCATTTCTTATTAACATAAAATTTTTCTTTGAATATGTCTAATTTTTTTGAAATACTTTATACTGACCCTTTTTTTTTAATTTTTCAAATTTTAAAGATTATAATAAGAATGATATATGAATCTTGATTAACATACTGTATATTTTTAATTATGTATGCATTTCTGCTTTGTTAAGATAATCTGTTTATCAAAGTTTTATTTTTCATTCCTGTAATACCTACCTGTCTAACTTTGATTGGTTGAATCACATTTAAATATGGTAATTATATAAAGCTGATTTTTACATGAGTTGTTATTTAAAGTATCTGTATCAAGAACCAAGAGTTGAATTTCAAAATCTATTTGACAAGATTGTTGGTGAACTGGCATAATTAAATTTGTTGGGTAACAACTTCCGGTAAGAAGATTCTGCAGCTGAAATTAAGTTTGAACCTGATGTCAATGAGAAGTTTGTACTCAAGGTATTATTTACATAAACGCTCATATTGTTACTTGCGGTCTTTGCGTTCAGTTTATTACTGCGACAAAATTTGGTTATGATGTTTAAAGACAAATCAGAAGCTGATGCATTAAGTGTTAATTAGGATGTTACTCCTATTTATATGTCTTGACTCACTCTCTTATATTACTCAATTATCATATAATTATCCCAATTTTCAGCACGTACCCACCCCTTATTTTGGCATCGGCACGCTTGGTATCGCTTTTGCAAGGTCGCGTGTTTTCCAATTCATAGGTAAACATGAAAGTGCGAGTCTTGGATGGACAGAAGTGAACAAATAATTCTCACCAATTTATGTAGTCATGACAAAGCGATGTTAGAACGTTCTGGTAATTTTACTGTGACGAAATAAAATACGTGCCTGGGTCATACCAGAACTCATTAAATCATGGATTAACGTTAAATTGAAAGTTCGATGTTCCAACACTTTGTCATCGTGTGTTTTATCGCGGATGGTCTACATCAATTTTTTTTTCCCAGGATGTGTTTTCAACCTAATCCTTAATAACTTTAATTATCCTTCAATATATTGTACATTGCTGATATGTAAAATTCGATGCATTATCTTTTGCATTAGGCACCTCGCATGACAAATATATAAATATAGATGCAGGATAGTAATTAATCACTGGTAAAACATCATGTAAAAACTTGTGCATTCCTTTTGTTGATTGTGAATCTTTAATGCCATGGTTTTTACACAGTATTGTTACTTTCATCATTTTTAACATCGCGTGAAATTCTAAAGCTTCGATATGTTAAATCACTAGGAAACAGTATATAATGTACTTTAATCAACCTCAAACAATAAATTTATCTGGTTTTTTACTATAAAGAGGAAATTTGGGTGTAGGAATCATCCAAAGAGTTTAATGGCCATACGTATTGAAACGCTTACTCAAAGCAAAAATTTAATGGTGGTGTACGTAAAGACGAAGGCATCAACTTTCAACCAACCATGTCGCGCATAATTTATAATTACGGTAAGAACAACTGAAAACACGTACGATTTTCTTCTCATACAATTTTAACATCACGAAATGATTTGATTTCTTGTAGTGATCCTTTTCAAGACTTCGTTAGATAAGATATTAATTAGGACACGCCATTTTTTCTTGTAGATGGAAAATACTTTCTTTGTTTAGAAGTATCTTTGGCATCTGACATTCTAATCTTTGCTTTGTGTGTAATGTTCAATTTCTAAAATTTAAATTGTACAGATACCATCCTAATATAACTCTATCTAATATACACTTAAAAGTACATTATTATTGACTGCAATTGAATGCGATTCAGTGGTGATGTGTGCTAGGCGGTTGATGTGATGTTTCACCAGTCTTGTTCGCATCTCCGTTAGATTCATCATTGGAATCTCCATCTACGCCTACATTCCTTCCTTCAGTTTCATCTCGTAATTGTTTCTGCCACATTTCGTAATAGACGCCTAGAACACACCGACAGAATAATGTTAAAACTCAAAACACAACAAAGTTCCAAACACAAGGAATAGGTTACCTTCACCGCCTCGCTTTATGGCTTGTTGAACGAGTTCGTCATGTGTTCCCTGTTAAATTACAATGGTTATCTATTACGTGTAACGAATACAATAAATCAAATAACAAGTCAAATTCGTACCTGTTCAACAACCTGACCGTCTTTTATACTGTGTAAAAGGTATTTTTTTAATTAATTTTCGTAAAATAATTTGGTAGGTTGCAAAAATGATTCGAATACCAACCAAAGAATCAAATCGGCGTTGACAATTGTGCTCAATCGATGAGCGATAACCAATGTTGTACGATCTTGAGTCATGTGAGACAAAGCGTGTTGGATTTGTCTCTCAGTCGTAGTATCAAGCGCAGACGTAGCTTCATCGAGAAGAATGATCTGAAAAAGCATTGTTAGGTTACAAGTTTATACTACAAGTGAAAAGAATGCATAAACGAGAATACACACCGGAGGATTCTGTGTTCAAATGTCAGTATACGATGTTTTGTTAACTCTCAACAATAAAAATTACGCGACGCCAATAATCATCCATACCTTCAATATTGTCCTTGCAATCGCCACCCTCTGTTTTTCACCACCGCTTAACCGCAGACCACGCTCTCCTACAAGTGTGTTATAACCTTTGGGAATGATACAGGCAGTGAGCTGGTACTCTATACCTTATAATTTATGTGATTGTGTTGACATCATTCAAAATAAGAAATTTACCGTCTGGGAAAGAATTCACGCGATCGTGAATTTGAGCGGCCTTGGCAGCTTCGTATACATCCTTTTCAGCTGCATGCACATTTCCGTAATGAATGTTATATAAAACAGTATCATTAAATAAGACTGTATCTTGAGGAACGACACCGATATTTCTTCTTAAACTTTCTTGTTTGACAAGACGGATGTCTTGTCCATCAATTAATATGCGACCTGAACTAACATCATAAAATCGAAAAAGTAGTCGAAGAATGGTCGATTTCCTATATTCATTGGTTGCACGCAATTAAAGTTAAAAAATATGTAACTCAATGTTCGAAAACTTTTATAGAAGACTTGGCGCACCCTCCACCACTAGGTCCAACGAGAGCGACAGTTTTTCCTCTAGGTATTGTAAAGGATATGTTTTTCAAGGCCGTATTTCTTGGGTCATATGAAAACCCGACGTTTTCTATGATCGAAAGTTGTCGGCGTTAGAACGATCGGCTGAATAAGATAGACATGAAAGTCAACGAGTACCAAATATTACGGATCCTTCAGTAACTTTCAACTCTGGTGCTCCAGGAATATCTTGAACGCTTTGCTGTTCTTTGAACAGGTCCAACATTTTTTCCATGTCAATGAAATTTTGTTGAATCATTCTATAATATGTTCCGAAGAAATTAAGCTGTGAAAACACGATAATTACTGTTAGAAGATTAATCTGGTTTTTATAGAAAAGAAGTTATAAATATGTAAATGCTTTACCGGGGTATACAGCTGGTTGATGTAAGTCACAAAGAGAATAAAGTCACCAACGGTGAAAACACCTTTGGTTACTTCACGTGCACACACTAAACAACCAGACAGCAAACCGAGAGTGATCACAAGATTCTGACTAAGGTTGAGCAAATTGAGTGAGGAATTCACTTTATATTCAGCCACCTGGAACTTTTTAATTGATTCGTCATAACGTCGCACTTCAAATTGTTCGGCATTATAATATTTTACGGTTTCGAAATTCAACAGGGAATCAACTACAATTTACAAGAAATTTAATGTCTGATGCATCAAACAACAGGACTTAACATGTTCGCGAAAATCACGTACCAGCTTTCGCCCTGGTGTTATTATCCAGTTCAATCATCTCTCGCCTAAATTTCGTTCTCCATTCGGTAATCACGACGGTTACAAAGATGTAACTAGACATGGTAAAAAAGACAATGATACCAAATTCCCAACCAAACATGACTATAAAATAAACGACAGCAACTATAATATCCACAATCACGGGAACAATCTGAAACAATATCTGGTTGAGCAGGGAGATGATACTGCTGGTTCCACGATCCATTACGCGCAGAACCTCTCCGGTCTTACGATTGATATGGTATGACAAAGAAAGCCTAAGACGAATGTACATATATGAAATTAAAAATTGTTCTCAACAACTGAATTCAATGTGATCCGATAGCAATTACCCATGCAAATGATCAAACATCTTAACGGAAATTTCTCTTGTTGTGTACTACAAGTTTTACAAGTTTAACATTAGCAGACAAGTACACCAGTAAATTCTTATGATTAACGTTTAAAGGTACCTGTCCAATAGGAATCCACAAATAGTTTTGAATCGCTTGTAGTAATCCGACACCGCTTTGCAAGAATTTCAAGAAAACGTATATCAAAATAGCAGCCCAGGGGAAAGATGCTTCAATCACCGTAGAATTTTCCGCATTAATGATCAAGTTCATAAATTGCACGAGGTTTCATTTTTTAAAAAATAATGTATAAATATTCCTCACGTGGATTTCCATTATCGCCGGTCAGACTATCGGTGATGACCTTGATCTGCATAGGAACGAGTACATTAATAACGCGCCCGGCAACCAATAGGCCGAAACAGATGAATATCAGGAATTGAAGCCATGGCTTATGTTTAGGCCAAAGAAATGGAATAAGCCGTCGCATTTTTTCAAAGAAGTCGGCAAATGCGCCTTTTTCCGGAATATTCGTTTCTCTTGGTTGATTTCCATTTTCATTGGATGGAAATGTACCGTAAGACGATGAATTCTCGAGGAGTCCTTGTCCAGATTCTGCGTCGTCACCAAGACTTAATCGTAAAGCTTGTATCAATGACGCTATGCTGACAATCAATAATGCAACATAGCGGACTGCCAAGATGCCGAACAAAGTTACATCGTAGTTCGAGACATATGATCCTGCTTGTTATTTCGGATAAAAAAGATCGTCACCCTCAGTATATCTTGAAACAGGAAATCACTATGTCAAATATCTAACCAATACCTTTCTTTCTATCTTTCACTATTATAACCCAGTTAAAAAAAACCAGTGTTTCTCCTGTTAAGGAAATCCAATAAAAGAGGTAATTAGCCAATGACCATCTCCCAGTATTGTTTCGTTCCACTACCATCAGAGTCATGTTGATCAACCAAGCAGCCCAAGAGGTGACATCGTAAAAGACGAGCGTAGATGATGCCCAAACTTTCGATTCCAAGGCCCTGACGATAATCACCGCACAATCCGCGAGATAAGATAAGAGCACAAATCCGGTGAATCCATAGATTGTCTTGATCAAAGGTGTAGCACGCGGGCGATTTTCTCTCAGCAGGGTGTATCCGCTTTGTTTCCGAAGTATTCTATATAGACCAAACACTACAATGTAGGATAGAAGGATTATCGGAATGAAAAAGATTCCAGTGCATGAACTAAAAAGACCAATTTCTAAAGGGAACGGTAGACACGAAAACAAGTCCGAAGACTTTTCGGATAAAGATATAGGTAAACTCATATGTGCCTATATCGATAAAGCAACTAAAAGAAAATACTTTTGGCAAAACATTAGCTGATTGTGGGTTTTTATATTACGTATGTATATATGTAGTGTTACGTCATAATTAAACTTATGCATCTCTTGTAAGCGTTTATGCAGATAACTTTATTTTTTCGATTATATAACTAACGTTCTCATACTGAAAAATATTATATACTGTATATTTAAATAGCATATATTGTCATGTATATTATTTTTATAAAACAGGATCTTCATCCATCTAATATCTGTTAAACTGATTATTATAAGCAATGTAAGATCTAATATCTGTGCATTAATAATACATGATATTTTTAGATTTTTTTTATAATGTTCATATAAATTGTATAAAAATTATTACTTAAAATTTAAAATTAGCTTTATTCCTTTCTTTATTAAATTAAAAAATTTATTAAATAATATTAAAGGTTCTATATTATAAAATGATGTTTTTTTTTTCTATAATATTAATATTTTATTAAATTAAAATTTTATAAATTATAAAATAATTTATCAAAATTAGAATTCCTAATGGTTTTGTTATTTTAATACCAAATTGATATTGAATTTATTATAAGTTTAATATAATAAATCATAACTTATATATTAAATTTATTATAAATAAATATCATTTTGATATTATTTTAATATTGATTTAAAACTTTAATTAAAATTGATATTTAAAATATAACAATAGAATATATTAATATTGATATTTTTAAAAAGCAAAATTATAGATAAAAACAATATAATATTATATTTGAGTAATTATTTTCAAAGATAAACTGAAAATTTTTTGATATGATTTTAAAATTTATATTATATACATATATATATTGTTTAAAAGTTGGATTCAAAAAAATAATATTAAATATTTTTATTGCTTTTAAAAACAATTACTTATTTATTATATAACAAATAAAAAAAAATTTTTTTTTAAAAAGTAAAATATATTTTATATATAAATTTTATTTATTTTTTTTTTGAAGAAATAATAACTCTTATATTTTCACTAGTCCTAATTGGATTATTTGGCTGCCGAATTACAGCCGATTAAATCCAAATTTATTAATAAAAGTTTATACCAAAGTTTTGTTGTTTGGTCCAATTTATGCCACTCGGCACTTAA